TGTCGGAAAAAAGATAAAAGACGACTTGATGATTTAATTAAGTGAATGCGTACGATAAACTTTGAAAATTTAAGCAAAACTTTACGTCTTTAAACGCATTCGATTTAGACGATATATAGCCGTAAAGGCTGTTTTTACGGTTAAATTTATTCGCTGTATTGACGCGCTGGTAGGTTTATGTGGAATTTAGTAGACATTTACGAGGATTCGGTTAACGTGCTACGGCTGTGAGCGAGCGATAGTAAATCCGGCTGAAATAAATGCGCAACCTTTGTCTCTGATAGTCATTTTCGTAACATCTAATTATATTTTGCATAAAACATCCTGATCTGCAAATAAGGGCTAGATGATCTATTTAAATCTCGTTTTATTTGCTACGAGTTATTTGATACTTCACAATTATTTAGCTATCAGTTTATTAATCTATAATTTTTGTAGCACGTGTAAAGTGTGTCGCAGAAATATAATAAAGAAAAAAAACGAGCGCTCAGCAAAAGATACATTTCTGTAAAATCTCAAAAGAAACACAAGAAACTTCTATTTCAATCATCGACGTCTTTAAATCTCCTCGAAAGACAATCATGAAATTGCAGAAAAGAAAAGAAAGGAGAAGCGAAGGAAACTAACGGCCTATCCTACGTCTATTGTATATGTTCTTTTTATAGCTCTTTATACCTTAACTTCTGTTGTCTGAATTTTTTACCTGTTTGTATTTAACTAAAAAAAATATAAAGAGAGAGCAATAACGTAACCAAGTTTAAATTCAGCTATTTGAGAAAATATCAATATCTCGAAACTGAGATTATTCACATTAATTTGTAATTTAAAAACAAATATAGAAAACAGGTAACGTTACGTAAATGAATTGTTTCAGATTTTGTGCGCAACTGTATTTATTGCTTCGATCAATTTAAACTTAATTCTTTTTATATAAAAATGTCAAATATAATTTTTATAATTTAAACTTAAAAAATAGGAAAAAAGAATAAAATTTGATTCTTTTATTTAATTTAAAAAAATATTATACCAATAAAATTTTAATTAAGTAAAATTGATTTCAATTTATCATACATCAAAGAACATTATAAAAGCGTTTATAAACAATGATAGAATAATTTACGGAAGATATCTGTCTTGTTATTTTGAAATCACAAAATGATTAAAGTTGTCCTAGTTTCAGAAAATTGATGTATACTTTTGAGAACAAGAAGTAACAATTTAACAAATTTAAAGAAGTGTTTGAAAAATAGTTTGGAAGAATGTAGCAATATTTTGCGCTTCCAATGTACTTCTTCGTTTTTCGTTGCAAATTGTAAACGGGAAAATCTAATCCAAGCAGACAAATTTCACAAAAACAATGAGAAAACCAACGAAATAGATAGCGGAAAATATTCCGGAATATCTTGGAAAGAACAGCGCAATTTTTCCTTCACGACTCTTCTCGCACGAGCAATTCGTGCATGTTTTGTGCTCCAAGTTTAAACAAAAGGAGAAGAGCAACAAGAGTGTTGTAGGTCACAGGGTGCGAAACCGCAGAGATAACAGAGTGATGAGGCGTTATGTTGTAAAAAAAAAAGTGCAAGTCGGCGCATTATAGCGTTAATCCTTGTCGTCAATTTTCATACCAAGATCAGATTAGCGAAATTTGACGTGCTTCAGAAGAATAGTGAAGCGTCCTAAATTTCGATGCTAAAATATCCATTCTATCAAAAACGAATGGTATGATAGCTCTTAGATATTTGTTTGAATTAATAACTACAACGAGTGTACTTTTCCATGTATTTTTTATCCATATATTTTATACATTTTTTTTACCATATATATTGTGTATGAAATCAAAATTTCTATTTATAAGAATATTTTATGAAAAAAACATGTCTCTACCTTTGCTCAATATTTAAATTTTGGCGGATGTTATAAACAATATATTTAATTATATGAGAGTAGTTCAAATATGAATAAGCTTTTTTTGTGTAAATACAAATAAATGTGTTAATAGACGTGTTGGCACTGAATGTTAGGGTCTGCTCACGTCCTCCTCGTAGTAGTTGTTTTTGAAGTCGTTGAAATGTTCGAACAAATAGTATTGCCGTTGTCAATGCATTGATTAAGTTCTTTGTAAATGAAAATATTAACCATCAAAATTTTAAATAAACTGAGTACATATTTGGAGAAGAGACTTGCACTTTTAAAAGATTCAGACATTGTGACAACTACAATATATTAACAATCGCCACCAGGCCATAATTATGAACGTGTACAAGCATAATTGTACTGTGTAAATATCTATCAACGTTGATTTATACTCACACAAAAAAATCTCGTTCATATTTGAGTCATCCTCATATTATTAATAAATAAATATATATAAATATATATATGTATAATTTATATGTACATAAATTATACATATATTAATATCTTAATCGCCATTAATTATCTTCAGATACAAATCAACTTTATTGTTATCTTAAGCATTATAAGTACATGTGTATATTTTGTATATACTATTTACTCGCCGGCTCATGTATAAATACATGGCTAGATCTTATCATTACATATAACTTGCTGTCGAGATAATATTGTGTTTTCTGATAACTCAAGCATAATTTGCACAAATAAATTCTATTTATTTTTAATAATTATAATGTAATTATATAATTATAATACTTTTAAGTTACACAAGAAAATATTTTTAAATTTAGTTTAAGATTTTCCACTTTGTATTGCTATTTAAAGTTTTAATATGTAAATTGCTCATTCATAAATCTACTTGTCTCATGTTTTTTTTGAGACAGTTAATATAATATAATCTTTCTTATATTTTAGCTAAACAATCATAATATTTTAATTTGTATTTATTTACAGAAAACTATAATTATTAAAAACAAATAACAAATTGCACAATAGCTAAAAAAGAATTTCTTAGAATTTCTGCTCCTCTGGCAAGGAATAGAATGTATAAATTCGGTCCTGATCAACTTTCTCGAATAAATACTATCTCGTAAAAAATTTTTTTTAGTTTTGCGAGCATAATAAAGATTCAATAAAAGAAGACAAAAAAGAAAAAGATTAATCGTCAGTTAGTATATAAAAAAATACACAAGCTATTTCAAGGGCGGTCCAAGAAAATTACAATAATTAATTCACGTTTCCATCACATTTTTATTAAGTATATCTGTAAATTAATAATAAAGTAGTAAATGTTTTTAAACGCAAGAGTTTAAGATCAATTTTTTGTAACTTACATAATTTATGAATTAAGAATAAAATCAATCAAGTTTATTAAATAAAAATGTATCTATGTATATAATAATAAATAAAATATACAAATTGTCGATATATTATTTAAAAGATATAAAAAAGAATAAAAGTTTAAACATATTTATACATATATCTATAAATACGTAAATAATAAAAAGTTGCTTCAATTAGCGCAGGAAAATTATCGGCTCGCAAGCATGCCCTTCAATGCATCCATCTAAAAACTTTGTCTTCTTAAAAGCAAGACAGCCATACATCCATAACAAGAAGCAAATTGCACGCTAATTGTAAATAGAATATATGCACAGCCCTATCGACGAATCTCCAAGAGATGCAAGAGCCTCTAAATGAGCGTAGCAAATAGAGAGGTTTTTTTTCGAGGATGAAAGCGGACACCGAGGAAGCCAATCCAGAGATTGATCGCTCTTAAAAGCATTATCGAGCAAAGGATGGGATTTGCTGAGGGAATCCTGATATATTTTTCATGACAGAGAAGCGCGCGATCCAGACACTTGATACATCAAGTGTCTGGATCGCACGCTTCTCTCTCTCTCTCTCTCTCTGTGTGTGTGTCTGTGTGTGTGTCTGTGTGTGTGTCTGTGTGT